TACTGTTATATGACTGTACAAGTCATTATTGCTTTATTTGCTGATATATTTGTATATCAGGAATATCTCAGGAACAGATGAACAGGTCCATCAGGCCATGACATCCCTCAAGCAGACAGGCTTCATCAACTACTATGGCATGCAGCGCTTTGGCACCACAGCTGTGCCTACACAACAAGTTGGCAGGTAAGGTCATGACATGGAGTTCCTGACACAAAATGTGACATGATGGCATAAAGCAAGAGTTGGCATAAGTTGTGACAGGATGGTAAACTCAAGTATTGTTTCCTGCTTTTGTTTTGGGGCAGGGCTATCTTGAAAAATGATTGGAATGAGGTGGTGGATTTAATTCTGAAGCCTCGTCCTGGCGGTAAATTTGTTTTGTTCTCACACTCTTTAACCACTTTACAGATTAAAGAAAAAAAGTATTTAAAACTTTCCTCCATTTTAACTGCTTTTTTCAGCAGAGAAAGAATTCCTGGTCCGCTGCAGGGAGGAGTGGGCAAAGACTCAGGACCCAGAGGCAGCCCTGAGAAAGCTGCCCAACAAGCGCTGTGTGGAGGGGCAGCTGCTGAGAGGCCTGTCTATGTATGGCAAGAAGAATATCGTCACTGCTTTTGGACTGGTTAGATTTTTTTTTTTTTTTTTTATTTGTGATGCTAATAAGGTTGAAAATGTGGGTGAGACGTACTGAAATAAAAGAAGTAATGCAGCCAGTCAAAGGTCTCTTATAAACAAACTGCTGGGTGACCAAAAGTATAACTATTGTACTGGGCAGATTTCACTTATAAGTATGTGTTAACTGTATGAATTTAAAGCAGGATGCTACTTTAAAAAGAGCTGTCTATTTAGTTAAGCATCATGTTCACGGGACAATTTATTTACACCCAACAATGCAGGTTTCTGCTCTTTCTGATGAGTGTCTGTTCTTTTTTCAGATTCCTCGTAACAACCGTCTGATGTACATCCACAGCTACCAAAGCGTTGTGTGGAACACCATGGTGAGCCGGAGAATCGAAGCCTTCGGCTTGAAGGCTGTGGAGGGGGACCTGGTGCTCAGAGGAAGTAAATAGTTCACCATTTTCAACTAGCTAATGTTAAATATTAAATTAATACTTAGTATTTTTGGAATATGTGTATTCGCTTTTTTACTTTGAGAAAACATTCAAATGTTTCATTTTTATACTTTTTGAACGGATTAAACAAACAAGATAACATGTTGATTACTGAGCTTTAGAGATGCTGCTAGGTGGATTTTGTTACCTTTGGACAGAGGTAACTAGCTGTTCCCCTTGTTTACAGATTTTATACAAAGGTAAGCTAACCGTTGGCTGGCAGGTAGTTTCATATTTCTTGTATATCATGGGAGTGGTATCAGATTTCATCTAACTATTGGCAAGAAAAAAAAATATTTCCCAAAATGTCAAACATTTAACCATTTTTAAAGAACACCAAATTGTTTGAAGGAAGGGTTATTTAAAAAATGTAAATTATATTACAATTCCTGTCACCAGAAGTTAAAAGCAACCAAATCATAGTCAGAGTAGTCAGTTTGTTGCTACCAAATAAAAAGCTACTTTCCAACCCATAAGGTGTGTGTGTGTGTGTAAGTGTAAGTAAAACAAATGTGTACATGTACTGACTAAGCTAATATACTGATGTTGTCTCTGCTCTGTTCTTTAAGCCACAGCACACATCCTGTCTGCAGAAGAGGCTGAGACTCACTCCATCCATGACATTGTAATGCCACTTCCTGGGTTTGATGTCATCTACCCAACTCATCACGGTCAGAAGTGGAATGTTGCATGAAAAGATAGCTGTGAAAACTAACATTGGGTGGCTTTAACACTAATGAATGTGACAATAACACCCATTGCTCTTAACACATACACACGCCCTCTAATAAAGGTGTAAACAACAAAACGATTGATAAAATGATAAATGAAAGTAATAATCTAACTTTTTTTTTTTTGTAAATGGTTTCGCAAAATCAAAAAGGAGAAACAAAATTAAAGTAAGCCTACAACAGAGAAAAACATTGAAAGTTGAGTTCTGAACATTAATTACTTGTAATGATGTCTCTCTCTCATAGTGGGTAAAGGTTACAGAGAACTGCTCTCTGCAGATGGGTTGGACATCGACAACATGAGACACAAAGTGAAGGATTATTCTCTGGCTGGAGCCTACAGACGCATCATCATCAGACCCAGTGATGTCAGCTGGTGAGCAGCAATTTAAATACCAGTATATTATATCTTAACATGGTAAAGCACTGTTGTATGAATCCCTTTTATGGTGTACAGACCTTATTATAATACTGAAGCTGTTATTGTGTACTGCAGTTATTTGAATGCTTTGTTTAATTTCTTTTTCTGTAATACTGCAAGTCCTTTAAATATCTCTAACCTGGTGTGTTGTGGTATTTCTGTCTGTTTTATGCAGGGAGGTGATTCAGTATGACGATCCCAGGATCTCCCTAGTGCATAGTGATTTTGAGAAACTGGAGAAAAAACCCGCTCCTGTCTTCAACAAAGGTAAGTTCCTTTTAGGATTACTTGGTCTGTGTTAAAAGTGGTAATAAACTACTGGGCTAATCTGTGGACCAAAAGAAAAACCAAACTGACTTATTTCTCTGACTGAGAACTTGGACTGAACTATATTGGCATTGCAGCAATACTGGATTATAATTAAAGACACAGTTGTTATGTTGTTAAAACATTACCATACATAACAGATTAATTTAAACTGAATTTCACCAAAATGTTGGCTGTGTTAAAAAACGGAAGGCAGTTGCCTCGCTGCCTCGATACCGTAATAGACAGCTGCCTCAGAAGGCATCACTTTCAAGTGAAGGCAGCTCTGTTTATATTAGTTTCAAAACAGCCTTCTAGGGCAGCACTTACAGCAACGTGTGATGTCAGCACGCCGTCTAGCGTCTCTTTTGGCTGTCAGAAGAGACGCTAGCCTTAGCATCAGCTAACTAGCTATTGAAAAGCCAAACGGCTAACAGACACCTCAGAAATCATACTGAACAAACTTGGTTGGTTACAGTCACGGGCTAATATGATAGTTCAGTGTTTAGTTCTCGCTGGCTTTTCAAAAATTGAGAAAACGACTAAAAACACATAATTGTGTACAAATTCGGCTTGTTTGTCCACCATCTTGACCAGTTTTCGAAAGCTACGCCAGCTGCAGCTCCACTGCTTTATGGGTAATAGTCAGCATCAAGTCACCATCAATGCTGCCTTCAAAACTGGGGCAGCTTGAAGGCATCTCAGGAGACAAGAAGCGATCGTTTGAGCCGTTTCGAATGGCACTCGATGCCTCGCTGTCCTGTTAGACACCTTCTGGGACAGCAGTTTAGCCCGTTTCACAGCCGTTAACTCTGCATGACTTTTTGCACACTTTTGGCCATACAGCAACACTGACATGTTATCACCTTTTTTAAAAAGGTGTACAACAGTTGCCTATTTATATATCCAACAGACATAGAGCTGTGAAGACTACTCAGAATATCCTTGCACTAAGAGAGTGAAGGGGACATGGAGAAACTAAATTAACTGCTGATGATGCAGCGGGATCCTCAAAAAGTCTTTAAAAATACAATAAATGGTCAAATCACAGCTTGTTTGTGCTGTATAGGATATTTTCACCCAAAAAAGTGCTGCGTTTATAATGTTGTTCAGTGTATAAATACACTGAGTTTCACAGATTTTTATTTGTATGTTAAATAAAGCCCAAAAAAACCCCTAAACATACAGATGTAGTAGCTGGGCTGTACCACCTCTGTCGCTTTGCCTACCTGATGAATGTAGTATGACTGTAAAATAGCCAACTAGAGGTATATATGATATGATCAAGTACGCAATGACCGGTGTTGTTTGACACTCTGATACAGTATTTCTCTCCTTCCTCCGACAGAGGGGAAGTATCGGGCTCTGCGGATGGAGTTCTCCCTGCCTCCGTCAACCTATGCTACCATGGCAGTCAGAGAGGTCCTCAAGTTGGACACTAGCATAAAGAAACAGACGCAGCTCAACACCACCTGGTTCAACTGAGATCAAAATACATTCTGGCACAAACGAGACTGTTGCTGCAGACTGCAAAGCACCTATCTACTGTGGCTGCTTACTGTTGTGAGTGTTTGTAAGTGTATTTTGTGTGTGTGAGTGTGCACGCGATTGGGTTCTATATGTGAACTCAAAGGTAATTTCTTTGACGTACAAAGAGATGTATCATTTTCAACCTGTTTTTACTTGCTAGGAAGTCTTTCTCTGCTGCAATGATTCAGCATATTTCAACACTGATTTAAGTAATCTAAAATCAAACATTAAGGGTGCTCAGCATGCTCTCTTTGTACAGCAATATGAGTTGTTTTATTAAGCTGAATGTGTGCTTTGAAGCTCTTTAAGAGAGAAATTAAAAAAATTTGTGTTTATAGTGGTGCAGTCTGTCTGTGTTATCAAGTGTTGTTAATATGCTGCTGGTTTCTTGTCATAATGAGGGTTTTTAGATATTGTTCTTTGTATTGATGATGCCCTTTTTCACCTTTTTATATTATTCAGAACAATAAGATAGTTATGTCATTCCCACATGAAGGAGTTTAGCCACACAGTAAGATTACTGAAACACTGCCTCCCTCTACTGGCCATGAGAGTTAAGTGTCCTTCCAATTAAGGACATGAAATGTATTTAGGGCTCTTATCAGTCTTCTGCTGGTCAAAATAGGCTCTGTGGAGCTGACCATCTGGCACTGTGGTATATGCCAGCTGGCAGGATACAGCTACCCTCTCAAACTAAATGTGGCTACTAATCATATTCGCCCAGGGGCTATTTCTGCCCTCGTAGTTTTGGATCATTTCACCGACCTTTTTTTTTTTTTTTACATTTATTTATTTTTTATTTTTAATGGTTTATTACTGTTTGTCACATCTATGACCTGCTGTACCAAAGCTGATAAAACTAATAGTGGTAATGAAAAGAGTCACAAAAAGAGAAACTGGGAGAAAGATAATGATTTTTATTTTTACATCCCACTTTATTTAAACTTAATTTAGCATCAGTGGCTCACAAATTGGCTCCGTTTGTCCTGGATATGTTTGTGGCTTTTCATAAGGGAAGTGTACAGTAGTGTTACAGTTAAAACTGTTGGTCTAATCTGTCTGCTGAACAAAAGGCCACAGAGGAAGGTGTCCGCATTCATAAAGAGGATAAGTTAACATGAGATAAAGTGAAAGAGGACTACAACCATGTGTAGGCTATAGGCTTTTCATATTGTGTTTATGCAAACAAAACAAAAGCAAAAACTTCAGTTACAAAGGGTTTTTTTTTGTTTTGCTTTTTACCCTGACAGATGTTAACATGGAGGATCAATCTTGACCTTTGGGGATACTATGTAACAAAATCTAAGATCAGAGGTCCACTTAATAGCTTTTCAGAGCTTTCAACCACATCTTCAGATCTTTTCAGCAAATGGAGCTTAGAAAAGATAATTAGTGCAACTGAGATTATTTTGTTCTACTGTTGAACTACAAAGTAAATACTGGGTAAAATAATTAAGCATCAGTCCCAGTTATAATGAAAATCAGGGTCGTAGTGGCCTGACTGACTCTTAGGTCTAGGACAAAGATGGTTGTATAATCATATACTTTTATTAAATGTAAAAGGGATTTTAATGAGCAAACAAGCTGCCATGGAGCAATTGGATGCAAAACTAAATTGGATAATGAAAATTAAATTTGGACACTGCAAAATGTTGAATATATCAGTTAAAATGATTATTAAATTAATAAAAAAAATTCTAATCAGCTACTAAATATTCAATGTTATTGACACTGGTGTGAGAATATAAATCTATACTAAATGTGAAGGACCATATCCATTTTTTTTTAAGGCAGGTGCAGGGCCCTATTAGCACTATTAGGAGGCACACAGTTGTCATAGAAGACCTGAAAAGAGCTGCTGACAAAAGTTACCCTCTTCAGGAAGTCCTCCAGCTGCTGCACCGTCATCTCTTGAACCTTATTATTTTCCCTGTCATTGAGCCCGTGAGCTGCAAACGCAGGAAACTTTGAGCGCTCTGAGTATGGTGCATTGTGGTCAAAATCAATGCAACAGTAAGTCGACCAGAAGTAGGTGGGGATGCCCAGGCGGTTGATGTTGTTGCGGCGGATTGTGTGCCCCGAGTTAGTGACCCCGGTGACCACATAGGCGGTGCCACGGCAGTAGTTGTTGAGCCGCCTGCGGATGGTGTGCTCGTGGTTTTTCCAAGGGCCGATGTTGAACTCTCTGACCTGAGGGACCACATTTGTCAGAGTGTAGGTGGATGCTTTGTCATCAGGGTGGGCCTGGTGTTCATCTGGATTCAGCTGACCACGTTCAAAGATTACACTGTCAGAGTAGTCCTCAAGCACAGCCTGAGCATCCTCAAAACTTTTATGAACATTTTCAGAAGGCAACTGCTGCATCTCGCGTGATCCAGAGACTGTGGAGAGCTGTCAGGATAAACATTGTCATTACTGAAAACAAAACATTTATACAGTGAATAGATTATCAAATTAGACGGTCTGGATTTCTCCACTCTTTCAAATCCTAAACATTTTAAATTAAGCTTTTCTAAATCCTGGGAGGTAAAGACAGTAAAGCAACAACGCATCCCTACTTGTGGCTCGTACATCCAAGGTGCATCAGCCTTCTTGGAGCCATCCGATCGCTTAAAGGTGTATGCAGAATAAACCGGGATGTGGTTGAAAGTGTCATACAAGGTGACATACCGCGGGTTGCCCTTGTAGAACTGGCAAATCTTTTTAAAAGGCTGGTCCTCAAGCCCTCGAGGCAGTGTGCCCATGAACAGGAACTGTTTACACTCAGGTGCAAGGTTTTCCTGCACCTCTGCTCCTGCCATCACAATGATAAGAAGACAGATGAGAGCTTGAGCTGTTCTGTAGACAATCATGACGAAACATGCAGTATGTCTCCACAGTGCATTTAATCCCTCTGAAGCGTTGTCCTACTGTGTGGACTTTGCCTCCTCTGTGCTTCATACCATCTTATGCATATCATGCAAATTCTTATCTTTTTTCCCCATTACAACTAACCAAACCATTTCCATGCTTGAAAAGCCATTCACTAGCACCAGTGGCCATCACAGGCACAGTAAGATTCACAGATCTTAAAGGTCCTGCACACCCACACAGGTTTCTTGAGTAATTCTTTTCAGGTTTAAATTTAGGTCACCAAACTCCATGTACTGAAAACAAACAGGAGACTGGGGGAAATATCAATCAAAAAGAGTCTATACACACCCACACAGCTGGCCTTTTTTCCCAGCAGCAGAAAAAAGGAAGAGCACAGGTGATACCATTTACATTTAAGTGTTCCTGTAAGCCATAAATAACCCCTTTTGATTTCTAGGTAAGTCAAAATGTCTGCTATGAAAAAGGGGATATTAAGGCCATTACTGTCATTTAATATGTTATTTCACACAGCCTCATTGCACTAATGTCAGATGAACACAGAGGTTACAGTTTCCCCATCTGTGCCACAAGCTGTTTACTGTATCGGCATACTTTGACATGTAAAAGTGTTTTAAAACAGTCGGTTTGGCCTAGGAAAAGCTTAACCAAACATATCCACAGTAGCAACAACTTTATGGTAGCTGGTATTTTACCTGGTCAATCTGCTCAAGCTTATTAAGATACAGTAGGTTGTTTTTAAGCTCCAGGAACCACTGAGTCTCTTTTCAAGTGCCATTGAATTCACTTTGTTTCACCAGGACATTCCTCTGAATATCAATACTGCTTTCCAGAGAGTCCTGTGTACATATGCTAGCAGCTGTGTGAGACTGTAGGTACCTTCATGGTGGCATTAGTGGAAAAATCAGGGGGTTTCCAAAGTTATTAGGATACGCATACATCAGGATACATCATCAGGGAGCTTGAATGCCAGTACAGAATATTGAGCAAACAGTGGTATCAAACGCTGCCTGTTGATCAAGTTCAGATTTCAGTTTACATTTAAAAGCCTGTAGTATTTATTTGTTGCCTTGTTGACCTGTCTTAATTGATACCTGATATTGGTACCAGAATAACAAAGGCTGCTCTTGAACACAGTATTTTTGCATGCAGAGATTTCCAGAAAATGTGGACCCGAGTTCTCTGTGGTTTGAGGGGGCGGGGGGGTGATGTGGAGCATTGATTTAAAGACCACTGTCATTGTAGTTACTGTAATTACATCCACTACTACGCTATCAATACCAGCTGTCTGCAGAAAATTGTCAGTCTTTGAAGTCTCATCTTTCATACAGCTCAATGTACTCTATTGGTCCCTGTTTTGTTACACTGTAGTGCATCCTTCTGAGGCTCAGTCTACAGATTTCTTCTCATTGAAACAATTGTATTTACTCTGCCTTTCTTTCCTTCTCAGTAAGTAAAACTTTGGGTGTGTGTGTGTGTGTGTGTGTGTGTGTGTGTGTGTGTGTGTGTGTGTGTGTGTGTGTGTGTGTGTGTGTGTTGTTGTGAAAAGACTGGAATGTTTTTGGTAACATCAGTTTCCATAACAACAGGTTGATGGCAGCGCGAACTCTACCCCTGTAGAAACAAACACTTCCTGTTTACAATCGGAATATCTTCACTGTTTACACTGTAACTCCATGTTGACATACAGTAACTATACATCCATCAATCAATCCAATATCTAGGCTTAGATAAAACTTAAAAATGACTAAAATAAAAGTCAAAATGTCTCTAAAACTTTTATTACCATTTCTTAAGGTCAAGTCGTTGAGTCGTAGTAACATAATATGATCTCTTAAGGGATTGTCTTGCACAATGGACATGCAAGGAGCTGCTGCTGTGAACGCTGTGTTACGAGACAGTTAACCGCTTAAACCTAAACTGACCATTTACAGGGAAATTGACAGTAGTCAGTTTGGGATCACAGTGCTGTGATTGGTTAGTAAGTTACAGGTAATTAAGCTAGAAAGTTGAATTATAGTTCACGTATTTTGTCCACATATCATAACAATTACTCTGATAAGAAGACAATACTTTAATGGAAGCCCTGCTAGCCGTACTACTATTTTTGCCTGTATTTGCAAATTGCAGTATCACATATGAAAATGACTGAAAGCATCTATGCAGGGTAGTGGAGACAATGTGCAAGTAAAATAAATACCCCTTTAGGCTAAAGGTGCCTAAAATTAGTTAATCTCATAGAGTATATTGCTGCTGGGGGTTGTACCTATAGCCGCGTTTCCACTGCAGGGACCAGGGTCTAAATTATGCTCGAGGGACTTTATATTTAACCCCAAACCCCAACTGATGACACCAAAGACAAATTTAATACAGATTTATTTAAATAAATTTAAATACAAAATTAAAGAGACAAACAGTTCACATCCCATCTTACCTACTTGGATTCTATTGATCTCGTTACTTGTTCAAATAAATGCCTCTTCCTACCTGGAATAAGACAGAATGATCTCTACACTGCTCTGAAATCTGTGGCAGAGAAGCCTCAGAAACAGTATTTAGACAATGCAACACATGAGCACAATTGAAACTCTGGGTTAATATCTACTTTCATCTGAAAGCTCTCAGTATTTTTTACAGAAAGTGTGTGTATATATATATATATATATATATATATATATATATACATGTATATGTATATAGAATGAAGGTTTGAAGGCCTTTTGAATATATTCATGATGGCTGCCTAACATACATTCACTATTCTATTCTAATATTGTTGTCCGACTTTGAATGTGAAGGCTGTGAGTTTGTCTTCTGTGAGGGTTGTTACATTTCACCCCTGTATACACTGTGTTTGAATATGTGAGACACAGAGAACGAACAATGTGTTTGCGCATGTTTGTGTACTGTTTGTGCATTTGAATGTGTTTGTGCAAAGGAAATATGAGCATTGGGGGGATCTGTTTGTGTCTCGGGTTAGTGTGTGCTCATGGGGGAAGGATGGGTGGTGTCATTGTGTCTCTCGGGAGGTACGTGTGTTTGTGTTGGGGGGGGGGTGTTTGCAGGTCTCGTAGCTCTCTGCTGGGGTGGTCTAGTTTGAGAACAAGAGAAAGGTTGTGTGTATGTGTACAAATGTGTGTGTGCATAGGGGACATTGCTATCTATTCTAACTTAAGAGGAAGGCACATCTTCCTCAGCTGGCACAGTTCAGATGTAGAGACTGAGGAGCAAGAGGAGAAGTCACAGAGAGAAAGTGAAATGAGACAAGATAAGATGAGAGGACAGTGGCTGAATTTTGTCCCATAATAATCATCACACTATTATTAGCATCGTGGAATGGATTTTATCCAAGTTGAAGAAGTTGCCTGAGGTAAGTGTCTCTTTTGTGAAACTCATCATAATTCCTCTAAGGACTAGGCCTTCATTTAGGATGGCTAGGATGGAGTGTTTCTATGCAAAACATGCAGCGCGATAAAGACTGTAATACAAATTTACAGTATGAATTACAACAGTGTCAGCACAGTAACCTTGTAAAAGCATAAAAGCAGAAACAAATGATTCACATGCTGCATTATTATCTCCCGTAATATTTCTTAGATAATAATGTATAAAAAAGAGTCACTGCTAAATGTATTACTTTATTAGTGCAGTGAGTGAGAGAATATGTTGCCTATTTCTGTATTTTTGATCCAGAATCTATGAAAATGTTCTTGGATGTGCACACTGTTGATTCTGTTTGTCTGACAAAAGTATTTTAATCGCATTACTGAAAAGAAATGTCGCAAAGTCAGTTTTAGTCTTAGATTTTTGTTTAGTCCTTTATTAGACACCCATCCACAAGAGAACATATGCAGTATGAGGATGAAAACACACAATTTATGTACACTGGTGACATTTTGTTGTTTGCATGTCTTTGTTTACAACATTCTTGGGCAGATAGTAAAAACACATCCTGGACTAAATTCCTTAAGTAGGATGTGTGTAGCTTAACTTTGATTTCTTGTAACAAGTTGTGCATGTATAGCATTTACAGTGTTTGTGTCTGTTGCAAAACTTTAAGAATCTCAACGACTTTAATTTTCAGACCATCCAAGTCAACAGACTGAGGAAGAAGTGGAAGTGAACACAGGACAATCTACTACCAGAATTAAGGCCCTGAATCCTATATCTAAAACAATTGTCCGAGTGCTGGATATCCCAGTGCTGGAGTTTTGGCTTTTTGCTTCCAGACGTTGTATTGACCAAACTGCACCAGTGACAAATGACTTTTTATAGAAACTAAGGAGACGGCTGCACAGATGTCAGATTCAGACTTACTCACCTCCCCCTCTCCTTCTGCCCCTCCCCTCTTCTACTGTGACTACAGCGACTGGTCTCCCTCCTTCTCCATCATCCCATGCGTCTACCTGCTGGCCTTCCTGGTTGGTTGCCTCGGCAACAGTCTGGTGCTGTGGGCCTTCCTGGACCGAGCTGAGGGGAGGGGAACGAGGACCGGAGACAAAGCTGGAATTGGAAAGCTCTGTTGCTCTGGCGTCTTCAGAACCAGTCAGCAGAACATTAACAGTGCTGGTAGATTTAACCACGGCTCATTTCCTCAGAAGAACAAGGAAAACTCAGGACAAAGCTGCAGACCCTCCTCTCATTCCTCCACCTCCTCCTCTTATCCTCCCTCCATCCCTCGTCCCTCCCGCTCACTGACAGACTCTCTAATAGCTAGCTTAGCGTTAGCTGACCTCTGCTTCCTTGTGACTCTCCCTCTGTGGGCGGTCTACACAGCGATGGGCTACCACTGGCCATTTGGGCAACCCCTCTGCCAAATCAGCAGCTTCCTCACTGCACTCAACATGTATGCCAGCGTGTTCAGTCTGAGCATGCTCAGTGTGGAGCGGTACTGGGTTCTGACAGGACGCCGGCACTCCAGCCACCATGCCCCACAGAGGTGCCCCAGCAGGGCTTTGTGGATACTTGGAGGGGTGTGGGTGCTGGCGGGGGTGCTGGCACTTCCTGGTTTGCTGCTGCGCTCTGTCAGGGAGGTGGAGCTAGACCATGAATCTGATGATGATTGGCAGCTAGAGCCAGTTCATCCTACTGACTCTGGATCAGTCTTTCTCTCTTGTCAGATGGATTACTCCATGCTGATTGGAGTAGAGCTGGAGGAGACAGATCGAGAGAGGGTGGAGATGTGGTGGGCGGCCGCCTTGAGTCTTAAATCAACTGTTATTGGCTTCCTGCTTCCTTTTATCATCTTGCTGGTCTGCTACTGCTCATTGGCCCAGCTCCTCAACAGACATTTTGGACGGGGCCCTCGTCCTGACCGCAGGAGGCAGCGAAGACTCCTCAGGGTTATTGTCACTTTAGTGTTGGCTTTCTTCCTGTGCTGGCTGCCTCTGCATGTTAATAAGACTGTTTCCATGCTGCTGGAGTTTGGTTTTGTCCATTACTCCTGCTCTTTAGATCAGCTTTTACTGGCTGCTCACCCATATGTCACCTGTTTAGCTTATCTCAACTCCTGCCTTAACCCTCTCCTGTATGCTGCCTGTGACCCGACATTCAGGAAGAGATGCAGAAGAGCTCTTCTCATGTTGTTCAGGAGAGGAGGAGAGCGAAGGGGGGAAAATAAGAGAAAGAAGGATGAAGGAGAGGAAGAGAAAGAGGAAAGGAGCTCAGTTTATCCCACAAAAACACAAGAGGAAACTGCAGATAGGACAGAGACGGGAGAAGAGGAGAGGGCGGTAGAAGTGGGTGGGATGGTTGCTGAGGAGTGAGAGGCCACATGAATCATGGCTCAATACCAAAAAAGATAATTGTTAATTCAGTGAAATCTAAATTCACACCAAAGAACAAGGACATCAAGCCATATTGTTTGTTGACAATAAAAGAGCATTGTATGTGATTTGTTTCTCAGCAGTGTTGTTGGGGACTGAATCTTCATAAAATGAACATTCATGAGGTCATAGACATGATTCCCTGCTTCAATCCAGATATTTCCCACAGGAAAGATGCCACCACTTCCTAAAAGATTGTTGACCCCAGAAATAGAGTCTCGCTAGACCAAATGTTCTCATGTTATCTGATCTGTTTCTATATTTTGTACGAGTAATATACGCTGAGTTGTTTATTGATTTGTGTTGTTTTTCTATTAAAATGAGGATCATGTTAAACTCACATGTGTCTTCTAATTTTTTTTAAATGCAGTACATAGTACATATGGCTATAAATATGCCTATGTGAAAACTCTGGTTGGAATTAAGAGGAACAAAAACCAACAGCTCTTAATTATATGTGCAGCGCAGTCCAGCACACAAAATGTCAGATAATACTTAAAAGCATCAAGACAAAAACATCTTAATTTTTAATATAAAAATATTGTCCTTTGGTCTTTTTATGCATTTATGACTACCACTTCTATCCAAAACAAAGCTGTTTCTGTTTCTTTTTTCCATAAATATAAAACAATAATAAATCCTTTTATTTCAAAGAATAAATAAGAAGCCTAATATTAGTGACATTCTTTACAGAACTTGCTTTCAGTCCATATTTCTGTTACTAAAGACTACAGGGGCGAGTTCAATCTCAAAACGTTTTGCAACGTTTTCGGACTGAACGACATATTTCCTTGCAACGTTCCGCAACGGGCTTAGCGTTATGTTTTCTCCCGTTTGGTGGGCGTGTCACAGGTGTTAACCAATCAGCTGCGACAAGTTTGTAAACTACGTTGTTAAAAAAGGCAGGAAACTTGTGTACACAACAGGGTGTTTGACTCACCACCGTTTCCGAAAAAAACTGTTCCCCAGGACTTTTGGCAGGAGGATCAAACCCTTTGGCAACTTTTATTTGGAAGTAGAAACTGTACAGTCATTGGCTATATGGCAAGTGATAGGCCTACTTCAGTAGTAGAAGTCTATTTAGAAAACGGAGCACGCAATGTAAACATAATTATAATGTCGTTTTATTAAACGAGTAATAACTGTAATAATTGTAAATCATCAATAATGTACAGTCGTTTTTTGTTGTTTTTGTTTTTTATGTACAGAGCCTGTTTCATGACGGACATAAGACGGCGTTACACGTGGTCAGTATCAGCATCGATCTAACTTCACTCACTGGTCTAAGAAACAATGAAGATGGGAACAGCATTGATTTATGACGAAGAAATGACCAAATACAAGCTACTCTGGGTTGAGTAAGTACATGCCGGGGTAACCACACATTTCGGTGCATAGCATTAGCTAACATAATCAAATAAGCCAGAATTAATAACTTCCTTGAACATCTAACGTTACCACGGGTGTCTGAAGGCTGGCGGACGTTAACGTTAATTGGAGCTAGATAGGCTATAACCTGTTTAATTACTCTATGCTCAAACATTGATAAGTTAGTACAAGAAACGTAACGTTGCATTAAAGTTACCGTAACCTCAGGTAACAGCAGCTTATTTACGTCAACGTTACTACTTACCTGTAGCGTAAGTTCTATATCAGTGGTTACCTATTTTTTTAAAATGGTTTTAAACGAGTAGATGCATCCTTCAAATGTCATTGATGGGGATTCATGTACTCAATTCAAGGTATTCTGTGGAGTTAGTACTGTTAAATTGTTGTTACTGTTAGTGGTAGGAACTTAAGTTGCTGTTTGTTGTAACTAGCCCGGTCGATTATTAAGGAGCACCCTCAGTGTCAGCGCCAAGCTAGCCCTGTTGTGTTTTTTTGTTATTGTTTTTTACATATACATCGGTATAGTTTAGTTTTGGGCAGACCTTTACTATTCTTTTGTTTGTGCTTGTGCCATAACACTTAGCAACACACTTAATTCTTTATTTCAACAAATTCAAGGCTTTTTCTCGGTAAACGTCTACCATAAGATCACTTTTTAATTTGGTGAAAGACAATTATTACAGGTGTGAATATGTGCTGTACTTGGCTCGGCTGACTAAGTGATCATTATACATTAGATGTAAAAGTGTTTTTCACTTGAATTAAAAGTGATTTTAAAAAAGATATTGTCATTACATTTCATTATGTTACATATGTTAGGGAAAGGTCCACTGCTTTTTGACTTAATTTTCACCTCTGTTGTGCATTATCTACTTAGGGTGTTTGTCCGCCAAAAGTGGAAAAAAAATAAAATTACTAAAACTACTAATGAATTTAAGTTTGAAAAACTGATTTCAAATGATCCAACAAATTTAGTTGTGCTGAATGACGATACAGATCAAAGCCTTAAGCTTAACTCAACACATAATTCAAATTCAGCTGCATTTTTCCCTCTCCAGCCCTGCATGTAAGATCGAGGTACCCGAGCGTCTGATAGTGAGTCATGATGCTTTGGTCAAGAACGGCCTAGCTGATCGCTGTGTCACTGTTCCTGTCCGCGAGGCGACAGAGACAGACATTCTGCTGGTTCACAGGTCAGTCCTGATGTTGACCAACTGGTTCAGTTAACTTTTCTACCTCCCCAGTAGGCTGCAATAAATGCCCAAAGTCACTCAGCGAAAAGTACTTTGATGCTTTCAACAGTGAGGAGTACTTGGAGGCAGTGAAGAAGACTCCCCATATGACTCTGGAGGACCTGAAGGAGTTCACCCAGCAATATGGTGACGTCTACTTCCACCCAGTTAGTCCTACACTTCTTACTTGAGATGCAGCTGTTGTCATTTATCCATATCTCGCGTTTGTTCATTCAGTGGTGGTAAGAGGGACGATTCTCAGCTTCCCTCCTGGTTAACCATTCCTCTTTCACATTTACTGTTCTAGAACATCTATCACTGTGCCAAGCTGGCTGCAGGGGCCACACTGCAACTAGTGGACAGTGTTATGACCGGGAAGGTGAGGAATGGCATGGCCCTGGTCAGGTGAGGCTGGTAACCAGTTAAACACAGCAGTCCTGATATGTACTGTGATGCTACAGTGAGCCTGTATGATTCTCTTCTTTGTCAGCACGATTGCTTTTTGATTTAGTGGGTGTAGTGAGTGTGTTTATTGATAAATTGATAGGCATGTTATTATTTGATCATAACTTTTGATATTCTAGTAAGTGTTTTACTAATTCATCATGTAAAGCTAGCAAACTCCGGCACGCTGTCAACACGACCCCAATCATTCAAAACAGTCACATCAGAGAGAGAGAGAGAGAGAGAGAGAGAGAGTAACTCCTTCAGCAATTAATAAAATACATGCAGTAAATGAGATGAACAATGTGTGTCAAGATCCACCAAATACAATAGAAACCTGGAAATAGAAACTTCAGGTCAAACAATATAAAATAAGTAATCAACAACAAATCTTGTAATAGGGGATGAAGTTTTAACAGCAACCAGTGAAAGTATTATATGCAAACTAGAAATAATTCATATTGAAAGTAATCTTTACAATTTTTCTGTTTTTTCTGCTAGTTTATTTATTTATTTATTTATTTATTACAGGGACAGTGCAGTGAGGACAAACACAAAGTTAATTATTAAGAAAAGTTAAGGAAATTGTTATGGAAATGAAACAGAGCAATAAACTGGGCTTAAAAGTCTGAAATTGGCTTCTTTTTATCCTCTTTATGGTAATAAACCACATACTAAGCGTTTTATGTGCTTGTCAGTCTAATTAAGAAGCTGTAAGATGTCACTGTTTTCTCTGTATTGGCTAAATAGTTTATGAATTACTGGATAAAATCATGACCTGCATATCACTTGTTTGTCATTGTTGACAGACCACCAGGACACCACAGTATGCGCAGTGCTGCCAGTGGATTCTGTGTGTTCAATAATGTGGCCATAGCAGCTCAATATGCCAAGCAAAAATATGGGGTTAAAAGGTAAAATGATTTTAGATTATTTTGTTTATTTTTTGTATTTTGTTACCAAATATTTATTTATGTGTTTATGTATTTTCAGGGTGTTGATAGTTGACTGGGATGTACATCATGGTCAAGGGGTGCAGTACTGCTTTGAAGATGATCCAAGGTGAGTCTTTCCTATCAGGAGGATACTGAATTTGACATGTGGATGTTGGCATATTAAGTTCTACATACTATAAATGTAATTCATTATACCCCCCTCAGCGTGCTCTACTTCTCATGGCACCGCTATGAACATCAGAAATTCTGGCCTCAACTTAAAGAATCAGACTACAACAGTGTTGGCAAAGAGAATGGGGCAGGATTCAATATAAATGTACCATGGAATAAGGTTAGTGACCACAGGTATGTTGTTAATCCAAGGTTATTAGAAATCCTTAATTTAATTTTTTAGGTCTACTTTGTAAAAATTTTATCCTAGACTCTACTTTTCTATTGATTGAAAGAATAGGAAATAAAGTCAAAACGTTATGGACTTTTTTGGTTTGACAATGTACATAAATGGTCTTTCCTAAACATACTACAACAAAGAAAAAATGTCAAAACAAACAAAGTTCATTTTGTTTGTTTTCATCAAATTATGAAACCAAAGAAAGTTCCTGTATTTTTTGCCCTTATGATGTAAAATGTTAAATCCATCATTGAATATCAAATTTGTTACTGATTAATTATCAATCAACTGATTGTTAATGAACTAAACCTTTTAGCGTCAATCTCAAATTTGCTTTGATGGTTGCATGCACGAGTGTTGTGTATAAGAGTGTGTTTATTTATGAGGTCCCATTGTATTATTTCAGGTAGGAATGAAGAACAGCGACTATCTTTCAGTCTTCTGTCACGTCCTTCTGCCAGTCGCATATGAGGTTAGCCATTTTGGAAAATGTATATTTTGCCATCAGATAGTGATGTGTTGGAGATTATTAATTTGAGCGTGTGTTTTCTTTGTCATAGTTTTGTCCAGACTTGGTCCTGGTGTGTGCAGGCTTTGACTCAGCCATCGGCGACCCTGAGGTACTGAATATAAATGACCATAATAAAGCTTGAAATGCAATTGCAGTATTTCTGCAGATTTTAGTTTATATCTATTTTTGTGTATGCTGAACTTACAGTTACACTTTATTAGGTACTGTTGTACAATCTATTGCAATTCAATATAACTGCTCGCCATAAATTCTACGTTATCAAGTTTATAAATGTACTTATATATTTGTTATTGAGATTACAGTTAAACATTGTGTTGGACTGGACTACATGGTCTTATATTTTCAGGGTGAAATGTGTGCCAGCCCAGACATTTTTGCCCACCTCACTCACCTCCTGATGAACCTCGCAGGAGGGAAACTGTGTGCTGTGCTGGAGGTCAGGCCACACAACATATACTTAACTTCAACACAAACATATGAATCAATCTCAATAATTTCTTCAAAACACCTGTCCTCCTGGATTCACCATCATGAAGTGCTTTAAGAATGACACAGGTGTCTAATCTATACTATACTGATACCATCATGTTGTAAGAACATTTGGTTGTAAAAGGTTTTGTGTGAATGTTTTCCAGGGAGGATACAACCTGACTTCTCTCGCACAGTCTGTGTGTCAAACAGTGCAGACCTTGCTTGGAGATTCTGCGCCTCGACCTGCAAACCTCAATGGTCCCTGTAAAAGGTCAAAGCAAATAGTCAAGCAAGTGTTTGTGTGTGTGTGTGTGTGTGTGTGTGTGTGTGTGTGTGTGTGTGTGTTTTATAACTGTAGTGACTTTATTTTTTTCTTTTCAGTGCACTTGAGTCCCTTCACTGTGTCCGGTCAGCTCATAGGCGGTACTGGTCCTGCCTCAAACATGCAGGTATAACATCCATTTTGAGCTATTGCGGAAAAGAGAATTCCACCGATTTAGCAATGCACTCCTTTAACATGGTCGGACAAGGGCCAGAATTGTTGCAGAAGAATCAGAGATGATGTGGGTTTTATCACACACATTCTTGTCAAAACCTGGTACCCACAATATAACTCTGCCATTGACAGTCTGAGATTTGGGTGTTTAATGCTAGTAGTGGCTAATGTAGTCTTGAGCCGGTAGGCTAAAGAAGTGATGAGGAGCGGGCTGCAGAGGTCTGGTAACCTCACTTCTTTCTTTTCACAATGGAAGTTTTTTTTCTTTCTATTTTCAAAATTGTAGTATTCAGACCAAACGATGGCAAAAAGCTTTATCCAACTTTTTTAACATATGTATTCTCCGCGAGACCTGTAAACAGACATTGATGTGAACAATTTACATTTAAAATTCCCCCTTTTAATTAGCCTTTAGAAAACAAGAGAGATGGCTAGCAGTACTTCATGATTAACCCCCTAACCCTAACCCTAATCACGTTAATTTGACATTCTCTGCCTTGTAAAATATTTCAATACTCCTTTCTCCAGCTGAACTACCCACCTCTGATATCAGCACAAAGCGCATTAAATTAGCAGAAGAAGAAGAAAAGTTAGAGAAAGGAGAAGAGGAGAAAAGCGTAGAGGAAAAGCTGTGGCCAGAGCCTCCAAAAAGAGTCACTCCTCCTATCCGCACTGCTTTGGTCCTCCCTGATGGTGTGGCTTGCCCAGACGGATGTTCACGCTTCAGCTCATCAGAGGGTCCTGACGCTGTCATAGTCAGCAGACTTAAGTATGGAGCTGTGTTTGGTGATGGTTCATCTCAATTAACATTATTCATAATAATGGATTTCTTATTATTGACACAGGAGGAGTTTATCATTGGAGGATTAGATTTTCAACAGAATACATATAATCATGATTTCATCTAAAACATTATACAAAAATGTGTTGTTTTTTGTCACAATAAGGGAGAATTTCCTCAAAGATACGGATGACCGCGATGCTCTCACAACCCTCTCCAGTCTTATTGCCCTCTTAGAGAAAATGGAGAAGAATGAGGTACAGTCAGGATATTATTTGCGTCTCATCTTTCCATGTGCTCTGATGTGATCTGCTTGTAAATACAGTTTGTGCTTTGCTGACCTGCCTCCACGAGCTGCAAGCTGATTTTTTTATTACATTTAATTACCGGCTCTCAGGTCTGCAGTGGCTTGGCGCTGGTCCGTGACGTCTCCATGGCGATGACTTGTGTTGTCCAGCATGCTGCAGCTGCTCCCAGCGACCGGTATAGCAATGTGGATGTAATCCATATGTACACTGACTGTGTGTTTTTAATATTACTGACATAGAAAAGTGGTGTGTGAGGTAATTAGCGTGTTGTATAAAAATGTCAATTTGTGGTTTATGTGCAGGGCTGGGTCTTTCCTAAAACGTGGAACTATTTTTAAACAGTGTTGTTTGGTTGATTGTTTTTGTCAGTTGTGCAGCAACCAAATAAAGAGATTTCTGTTATAGATACAGTTTTAGCACCTAACTGCATCATAAATGATAAATGTCCCTCAGAAGTGAAGAGAAATGTTTACAGTGTCCAAACAATTACAGATTAATGATGATGATATGAAATTGTAAAAGACAAGTTCCCTTTAAACAACAAGCTGACTTCACTGAATGCGAGTAAACCAACAGAGAACTTACGAGTGAAGTTTATTCAAATGCATTGTCAAGAGTTTTGTCGGATGTGATATGGCTTTATTCTTATGCAGGGTTTTGGTTGTGTGTGTTGGAGATGCGGTGGTCCCGAGTCACGGAACAGAGGACGGGTGATTATCGTTTGTGCTCCCTGAATTAGACATTTTGTCCCCAACACTGAACAATATAATGACAGAAATCCATCTTTCCATCTTTAGCAAAACACTCCTGGTGCAGTTCAGCAACAAGCAGTCAGAGGAACAGAAAAGCAAATATTACATTCCTGTGTGTCTGAAGAAGGTACTTTGTGTTACAATAGTAGAAACTACAATTAAGATTTGTCTATTCATATTTTCAGTGTGCAGGTATTCATTTACTATTTTATTATCTTTCTTTATGATCATATTACCGCTAAGTTCTCATATCAAGATCATGTCTAAATAAGTTTTTTTTTTAAAGCTGGTAGGCAATTTATTTCATAAGCATTTTTTGTTCTATTTCTTGAAATTCTATTCACATCCTGGCAGCAATCAATAAATCATGCTACCCCAGCTTTAATGTTTTTGCATGGTTGTTTCATGTGCAGGGGATGTGTGTGTTTGTTAGATAACAACATCCCAACCGTATTTGTTTGTCTTTCCAAAGGGCTGCAGTGACGTGTCAGGGTTCACACAGGCCGTGTTGGGCTTCCTCCTGCCTCTGGGATACGAGTATGACCCAAGTCTGGTTCTGTTAGTTCGGACACCAGATAGTGGGTTGTGTGACGGAGTGTGGCAACAACTAACAGGCCTGCTGCAGGGCCTGGCACAAGGACACACACTGGTACTCATGCAGGTAAGAAGGCTGGGGCAAGTTCAATAAAAGCGAAAAGTGTTCATCTTTGGCATCATTTTTGGGGAGGTTTAAATGTCAGCGTGTTCTACTTTAGTGGTCAGTAATTTTGTGATTTCAGGAAGGTGAGAAGGCATGTGTTGGCCCCACAGCCTCCTCTCTCCTCGGGGACGCTGCCCCCCCGCTGGGGCAGCTACGTGCTCCTCTACCAGAAGATGTGGCGGCACTGGAGAGGCTGAGACACATACTCCAGGCGGACTGGAAGCTTCTGCAGACTACAGGTAAATTCTCAATGGCAGCATCGCATATCAACGTTACACATAATCTGACATCTACAGAACTTAAAAATACTTGAACAATGTTAATTGGAATTTCTGTCTCCTACAACAGCACCAGAAACCGGAGGAGGTGATGAGTGCTGAAGCCGATCCTGCACCTTTTTGTAAAGAAATCAGTTGAAGCACATCAATCAGAATGGCTATATAAAATGTTATTGTCTAAACTGAGTTTTTGTTATACACATTTAATGTTTTTAAAAAATGCATAATCTAAATGAATCACACAATTGTCAGATTGATTTATAGCGTCTTTTGATGCATAGACACAACACAATCTAAGTTCTTTATCTTCTCTGGCGCCGTAAATGATTTATTGTTTACATCAGTAAAGTCTGCATTTCCTGGACAAATATAGGCCTTGAATTATGATGAGATGACAAACACAAATGGTTTTCCCATCAATAACTCCAACTCTTATTCTTTTATTAATTTACCTCAAATCTATCTTGTCAGAAGTTAACATTTACTCATTAATTTGTTGTCACCCAGTGATGATTACTGTTGGTAATTTTGTAATTCTAAATAATATAGTAGGCTTATCAAGTAATTATGAATGAAGGGTTAATGTGTCATTTAAATATTGGCTGTCTTAAATATTTCAATTATATTTGAATATTTTATCTCAAATTTTGTATACATGATTTCCAAATTGTACATCCTAAATAATGTCTGCGTTGATCTTGTTACAAACCTGCCAGTAATGTCCCATATGTCTACATCCAACAGTATCTGCAAAAGATGGAGACGGAGGGTATAGGAGTACATTTACTCAAGGACTGTTCTTAAGTAGAGTTTTGAGTTTCGCATGTAACTTCCCTATTTCCATTTTATGCTCCTTTATCCTTTTTCCATTTTACTTAAATGATCACAATACTTAAGTTCATAGGATTTTCAGCTGGATCACATGGTCTTCATTTCTTGAGGTCCAGCATTTTGAACCTTTGAGATTAGTTACCAGATAATGAATCATTTGTTTGATGTCATATTTAACAATAAAATAACAAAATTAATATGTTTGCTCAAGATAATACTGTCACCCCTCAATCCACTGTTGTTCCTCATCCTGCCGTTCGGAGGCGCTGTGGTGGGTGAGGACGGACCGTCAGTAAACACTGAAGCAGAAGCTCTCAGGCTACTCACATGTGAGTCATTCGTCTGTATTGATAACCCCGCCAGCGTTCCTACCTTCAGGATGTTGTGAACCTGTGAATTTGATAGTTCAGTGTATTTTTGCTGCGACTGGATCATACACCGGGTGCCTGAATGTATCACAGGGAGGAGTGACATTAACGTACATTAGAGAAAGAACACACACACTGAAAGATGTCTGGGACTCCGACCACATCTGTGAACCCGCAGTCCGCAAAAATGAAAAAGGACGAGTCTTTTCTAGGGAAATTAGGAGGAACCCTGGTGCGGAAGAAGAGGTCTAAAGAAGGTAAGTCATTTTTTGTTTTTCCTGCTATTCTAACATGAAAGGCCTTAATTTGTTTCCCTTGTGTTTCTGTCCATGGTGCTGCAATCACATGATGCGCTATTAAAATCTTCTCTGAGACATCACCGGCAGTTTAATCATGCTCTGCGCATGGTTTACAACATTTACAATGTTTCCCTGGTACTCGGCTTCTCTAGATTTTATTGTATCTTTGACCAAGATTAAAATATTATACCAATGATGCAAGTACATCCTTGTGATTAGTATTTCATAATTATTTATAGTTTCAATCACTAACGTTTTGAGCTAGTGTAGTGTTGTGGAGGATTTGATGTTTCTCTAAATGAGTGTAAGCGAATGAGACACAAAGCCTCTTGGCAACTCCACAAGCATGAGGTATTAAACAGAAATAGATCACACAGTCAGTGACCGGTGACTGGAACGCAAGGTTATGAAGATAAAAGTGGAAAGAGGATTTCTCTGCTCACTGTACCTTGGATTTTAAAACATTCTTTAACTTATTGTCCCTGTTTTACAATTGTTGACCCAACTATTTTTCTGCCCTCCCAAAGGAAAGTCACTCTGTCTTAAAACAGACAGCTGCAAGGGGTGTGTGTGTGTGTGTGTGTGTGTGTGTGTTTTGAAGCCAGCCATGTGTTTGCAATCTCCATTAAAGGAGGTCGACCAGCAGGAGGACAGACAGAGACATATTAATTGTTTAGGAGCCTCATTAAATTCCACACATCTCATCTAAAAAAAACCCAACAACAACTTGGATCTCCACTTATTTTTAAGTGAAATTTGAAATCTCTTAATCACAGTGTTGAAATTAGTAGTTCCCCCTTTTAACACTGGAAGGACGGGTCAATAGAAATTCTTGCATCCAAACATTTTTAAAACCAAGTATATGGGCTGAATTTTTTTGGTTAATTGTGTATAAAATGATGCACAAGATCATCATCATATATTGGTCTCTGGGCCACACTGTTTATATAGGCACTACTGTCATTTTATTTACTCATTGATTAATAGATATATAGATAGATAGATGATGAAAATATTTGTTATTTGCAGCCAAATCACACATAATGATATTGTCTGCCAGAGTGGAATAAGAAAAGAGAAACCACAGACCCCTCAGCCCACTGATTTAATTAGATAACTGAGAGGTAGAAATTAATGAGGTAATGAGAATTATTGTCTTCCTGCTTAAGTTTGTGCTGAAAACTGTGATATAAATTTGTTGTCGGACAATATTACTAGCTACAGAATTAACAGACACATATTCCTCAAAGTAATGTCCCAAAATCATTATAACCCTGGAAGTTACAAAGTTGTGAGAGAAAGCCACTTACTTATTTAGAAATCGGGATATACTTATATCAATTTAAAGCAATCAACACATAACATATGGCTGTAAATCAGTGCTGTAGGTGATGAATATTGCAGCGGGGACAGAAGGAAAGCTACATTGCCAAGGTTTGAGTGCAGCTTGTGAGAGCGCAGTGCCCCTGTGTGGCCACATTGGATTACAGCTCAGATGATACACATTTTATTTTAAAGGTAGAAGAGCTTGTTGGTGTTTGAATTAGAAATTAGTGTAAGAGAAGACAAGTATGCAAGGTTTAGTCTTGCTAATGAAGCATAGCGTATGGCCTCACATGCTGCAGCTCTTGTGGTTTCTGTTACATTTGGGTGTGGTGCTTTGTATTCTTTAAGAGGAAACTCCCAAGAAAGACAACTTGCTGGAAAGGTTGCTTCACATTCAAGCTGAATAAGCAAGCATATTTTAATTGGATTGCTCCTTTTAGAAGGGGCCTATTGTTGACACTCCTTAGCAACCACACATACATGTTTAAGTACAGTATTAAACACTTACAACCTTCTCTTCCTCTTGCTGTGTCAGAAATAGGATGGAAAGTGTTACTTAAGGCTACTCGACAAGAGATGTAGGAACTTATTTTTACACTGTCCAGATTCCTTCAATTGCAGACCAAGTTTTCAAAGATACTGTGTGTTCATGTCTCTCTGTAGATCCTGATAAACTGAAAGGAAGTCTGTATTTCTCTGACAAGGCACAACTCCCTCTGTTAGCAACAGTCAGTGATGTAATAGTGATAGTTTAATGAAGGAAAAAAAACATGTTTTTACTTTATAAGGGCTGAGAGGATTTGCATTATGTCACATCATCACAGTATTGTCTTAGGGTGACAAGTATTTATACTTTGAAAATACAAAATATAACCAAGATACAAGGATGGAAGCTGATAATAGTAAGTCATCTGTTTTTCTGCCCTAGTTTTATTGTTGCTATTTCACTCACTTCAACTTATTTTATTGTCACTGCCTTTACATAACTATCACAATGAGATGGAGATGAATTGAGCACATTATACATTAATTAATGTATTATACATATATCCAAAAAGGTACAACTTACCTAACTAACATTCCTAAATACAATATATATTGTTATACTCTCGCTTTGTGTCTTTTGCTCTTTCTAGTGCGATGATGATTTAAGAAGCAAGAAACTTGCTGTGAAAGCATCTTAAAAACATATAAGTTGCTGGTATCAGTAGAGATTATCCAGGAGATTCACTGATATTTCGAAGATATAAGAGTAGAGTTACTCCAAAAAAGGACAAAGCATATTTGCTGAATCAAGCAATTATGCAAAACTGTCAACTACAGTGAAGTCAAATGTATTTATGTTAGAGCCTCATCAGTAGACTGGTCTGGCCAATATTGACTGATATTAACGTATTAACATGGGTTGTGTTGACCGATACTGTAACAAGAAATTACAGTACAGAAAAACCAATGGTATATTTGAGATATTGCCATTACACAGTTTCTTCACCAGAGAGCCCTTAAACATTTATTGTCCCTACTGTAAAATGTCCCACTCAGTATATATCTCGGTTACAATTCTTAAAACCTGTATTGAAAATGTTTGGGAATGTTATGTGTTTATGTAAAAAATGAGTTTTGGCATATTTATCTTCTGTGTCAAAGATCCATATCGGTATCAAATTTGTCTTTTGTATCAATATTTGACTCCCTCTATCCTTTGACCCTTTGATTTGGATAAGAAAAAAAAACACAAAAAAAAGGAACACCATTAATGGAAGAGCTCAGGAAGAGCAACAGTGAAAGGATCCCTCTTCTAGCCAGACAGATCATCATGCAGTAAGTGTTGAGTGTATAGAGTACAGAGAAGTAGCAGTAGTAGAATTACAACATTGAGTAAAAAAAGTACACAACATATAATAATAGTAAGTAAATATTAGGTGTAATAAGTTAAAGAGTTTCAGCTGTCATGGTTAATATCTGCTGAAGGCCCCCGTGCAGAACGTATCGAGTGACGCTGTCATCTCCTGGCTGCTGTTACTAACTGGTGCCTGTGTTGGTGTAAATAACCAGAGCTATATTTAAGATCCAGTCTGTCTTCTCTGTACTGCTGTATTATTTATATCCCTCCCCCCTCCCATGTCCCCCTCGGGATCAGTGGAACCAAAAGACGAGGTCAATTTCGATCTGCTTTACATAGTTTGTTTATGATGCGGGCTGATTATACTCAGCCCATTTTTAAAGAAAGGCAAAAGAAAACCTGACTTCATGTTGTTGCTGCTTTCCTGACTAATCACTGAGTCCTTATAATAACCACTGAGGAGCTATTCACGTGAATTTGTGCAATGAAGCCGGCATAAGATAAACGTTCTTGACTGCAGACTTTGGTTTGTATTGAATTAGTGTAATTCCGTTAACAGGAATACAGCCGCTG